TGGCAGAGATATTGATTCTTGGAAAATGGAGATCACTTCGTTGTTAGGTGGAGAAGACATTGTTGTGCACGTGGATGAAACTTTGTTGGTAAAAAGAAATACAACCGCGGTCACCAGCGAGCGAACAACATTGGGGAAATAGGTTTATACGACACTTACCTCCGAAAAGGATTCGTTGAAAGAATAGCTGATAGAAAGGCGAATTCTGTAACAACTCTTATTACGGGACATGTAAAACAGGGATCAATAATACACAAGGACGAATGGAAAGGTTATAATTCCTTGTCATCTCTGGGATATATTCATCACAGAGTCTTTACATTTCCATTGACAGTCCGATGCTTAACTGGGAGTATTTCTCCCACATGTTAGGGGCAGATACTCTTTGTAACCGTTTTATGCTATATTTATGCTTGTTTCCTATAAATATACGTTTCCATTTATCATAAATGCCTGTTTAATGTGATTGGTCTTTTCAAGTTCGTTTGCTGATCGGTTGTTATTGGTGTCGAAAGTTTCACTTGGCTTTTAATTGTTCGGCAGTTAAAGTTAATACTCTGTACAAAGCCTTTGAACAAGTGTTTTACAAGATAAGTACTGTACTTTTATTCGTATTCCTTCGTCTACTTCCAACTTGTACACGATCGAATCATTCGCGCCTTTGAGTTGCCCGCCAATGGCGATCAAGGTCAATGAACCAACGTTCAATGTCCACATTCATTTTGACCCACCATCTTCCCCTTGAGCCCTGTCCAACGTGGTTAGGTGAAGGAGTCACAAAGTCAATCAGGAGTTCCATATTGGCATACCTAGCGGACATGGATAACAATCAAGCCACCTCAATTCCTTAAGTCTGTTCGACTTCGATTGCTAAGCACAGGTGAGGCAGTTTGCATAAGACATTTTCAACCCAATCTCTGTGTTCGGACAAAGTTTGTTTAATCTCTCTTTCTTTCATGGCCTTCAACCCCTACCCAGAATAATTATCTTTCGCAGTGACACTGGATAACTGTAATATTATTTTCATTTGTACTGCTAACTTTATCAGCAATATCATACTGTGCTCTAGTTGCATATTTTAATCTTAGTTTCAAAATTTATTACTATTGTCCTTACATTGTATTTGATTTTCTTGGTCCACATTGTTTCAAATGTCTATGACTAATATTTTATCACGTAATTGTGAAGCCTGATGGGAATTAACGGAAAATACGTATTTGCCTGCTTCAAACGTGTTCTTTAATTTATCAACGCTTTTTTCTATTTTCGGTTGGTTCGAACCTATTTTTCAGAACCTTGTGATATGCTTAGCACCGCTACAATATGAGTAAAAAGAATGCTAATTTGGTGAAACAGGCTATAATGCTGGTACAAAACCATGAAAATATAGATGAATACACTTAAATTTGAAACCTAGTTATGAGTATCAAGCAATGTTTACTTCAATGGAGCAACTATATAGTCTATAGACCTCTGAAGCTGTCCAAATAGTCACCGTGTAGCGCTGTATAATTCGCCAAAATTATTAGCCTACAGCATTCATCACCCAACACTGGATTCCGACCTCCATTGTTTAAGTTGACTCGTTATCCAGAAAGAGTCACGGTCATTCGTCTGCACTATTTCGTTACCCTGTCGTGTTACATTCGGTTGTTCGTTCACGATTCCTAGCCAGTTAAACAGTCGTCGTTGCACTACGATTCTGATCCCGAAATATATTTCATATTTTGGACTATCAATTTGATTTGCCTGTGGTCTACGTAGAGGAAGTCTATTTAACTGCGCGTAGTTTCACAGTGCAACTGAAAAAATATACTAAATTGATTTGGGCTAAAATAAAGGATGGTCGTCTAAACAGTAACGCGCTTCTGTCATGGTGCTATAATCTTACTCCCGAAGGCTCATCACAATAGGGACTATCATTACTAGATTTTTGGTGAATTGTTTTTCAGACGTCTCATACCCTACCCCCGAATTTTTTCTGAATTTGATTATCATGGTCAACTTTGAGGACGTTTTGGCCTTACTGCCTGCAGTTTAAATGCTTTGAAGCAAAAGAAATCAATCCATATTAAGTTACAGAGTGTAACTTTCCTGCCAGAGTACTTCAGGTGTTTTGATTTGAGGCCAACTCATTCGACAAATCTCCATTCATTCTGAGGCATTTTTCAATGTTTTGATAATGATTATAATACGCGTAGGCTATCTGCTGACCACAATGTAGCTCCCTCTTTATTTCACCTTCTACCGTATTTTCACTATCTATTTCTCTCAATTTTATGCTTACTTCTTTTGACTCTCAAAACGTAAAGTGGAGCACTCTTGTACGGAGTTCTGCGTTGATAAGTTAGGATATTGGCATCTAGGCAAACTGTGACAACTACAATACGAAACACAGATCTCTTATTTTTTCTAGACTGTTTTTGCAATCATTATATTCAGTCAACATCTACTGATATCTAGATCTTTTTGTCTCCTAATGTTCAAACTTTTTGGTTTTGTAAAATATACCTCACTAAACTTTCCTAATGTATTCCCGCAATTCAAGTTTCCTTTCACAAAAATAAGCGATGGTGTTATATTGCGAAGTAATAGAAATTGTAATTTTAAGCCATTGGTTAGAATGATTGCATGTCTAATTGATTGTGGATACATGCTGTTAGTGAGTCTCAAGTTTGGAAGAAGCAGCTGCGCAGTGCACTAAGTTTTACGACAATAACAATAATAATAATAATAAAGAGAAACTAAAAACCTGTTGTCGGCGACATGGAACAGAATGACTTATTCGAATGACGAAATTAATACTACTTTAATACCTATCAGTAAATGAGATAAATTTCCAAACTCATAAGACAATCTGTAAAGTTCTCAGTATATTTTAACAGAAAAGTTATACGTTGCCATTCATTCCACAAGAATATTCTGCAGTGGCACATACAGCTCATATTCCTCTCTATCTTGTTGATGTCAACTTGTACATATAAAATATTAACAGTCTGACAGGAATAATCAGAAAGAAAGTAGAAAGAAAGCAACTGTTCACATGGCTTGGTTCTACAGTATGACCATAAAAATGGGACAAAAAGAACAACTAATAGATCCTTAGTAATATTTTGAGCAAAGAGATACATTTTCATCTACAGTCCATGAGAATTCGTTCAGTAATACCTGGCTGATGGATGACTACAGATATGATAAACATGCCTGATTCCAACACAGAAGTCTGTTCAGATGTGCAGAACTTCAAGTTGCAACTCTCTATGTAGCACACAAAGCAACAGAAAAGAGTAGAGGGAGGTACAAAAGACGGTTAATAAACAAAGGTGTGAGGGAAAATGGATAATAATATGGAAAAACAATAGAATTTTATTGGATATTATAGAGCACAAAGAGGGAGTGCATCTGCATCATTGAGAACAATCTTGAACCATATCACCAATTGTCTCCAGACATTGGTTTTTACCATCCCAAGGACCCCAACCAGCCAAGAAGTCTAACCTACGTCATTGGCTGGCTTAAAATAACTGTTGTGGATTTCATTGGCTGATGAAGGCATGTTTTGGTTTGACACCACCAGCTAACTACTTTCCGACCTAATCCTATGTCACCTAACACTGCCCGTTGGTCGAGGAAGGCGATGGCTAGGCAGGCGTAACACATTTCCTAACCATCTCAATCGGTGTAGCTTCACAACCTCGTCGATCAATTTCCCCTCCTTACCTAGCACTTGACCGATGCGTAACCACCTCAGTATTACTCATCCTATTATGCCACCCAACACAGCAGATAGAATGCAGGCACCTATGATCAAAGACATGTAGCATTTTCATGTCCTTCACTTCCAATGGCCATGTCTCACAGCCATAAAGGAGAGGACAGGGAGAACTGCTGAGCAGTACACACGTCCTTTGGTCAACAGCCAGATATCACGTCTACACCAGAGGTGGAGTAGATAAGATAAACAAAATGAATCGACTAAACAATCAAAATTGTGACATAAACCCTAGAACACAGCATTAGAAAAATAATACTATGTGGTAGAAATCTAACCGGCAATCAAAGTGAACGATTAGTAAACGAAAAACTGTGAGGCTGGAAAATTTGTTGCACTGGTTTCAAAAATCAGTAGGTATACAAAACTTCTTGAGCTTTTAATAATTTGAAAATAAAAAGCGGTTCATTAACTTGCCTAAAAAATTGTAAACCCGTAGAACAATTTAAAGGAGTACGTTACTGAATCGAGGTTTTTTAATGTACGTGTATCGCATGTTTAGGGGATGCAACGGAAGAACTACATTCCGCTCGTTAATTTCGAACGCTTCTGGAAGGAAAATCAATATTTAAATGACAAATCTCTCAGTTGTGAAATGTATAACGCCAACTGTAGATTTCGCGACAAAAAGTTTAAAATAAACACACAACACGACTTAACATATAAATCAACTGTTAGATTAATGTATGGCTTTATCAGTTCATATGATTGTATATCTAATGCTGCATCCACTAAGCGACATATCCTCTTCATCTGAATATTTTAAAAATAGCTCTGTGAGAAAACAAACGACAAAATCCATCTATAGTTGGATATACATTTCAATAGGCGTTTTTTATATTCATCATTCAAGAGAGCTACCTTCTGTTTGGTTAAATGATAAATAACGAGATAAAATAGCTGAAATCCGGATTTAAGTGAGAGAGGGAGGCTAATTTAGTGTAATCGCAAGATCTGCACAAAATCAAAGACAGTACTTTAACCACTAGTGTAAACATCACTTCCTAAAGCCGTTAACATGGAGGAAAAACTAGGCTAAACAAACTTGTATGTACATGTGATATGAATTAGGGCCGCATAAATGTAAGTGGTTGTGATTTGTTAACAAAATAGAATACTCACACCATTGCTACATCTTCCCCCTTAATTGGCAGTAAATCACCAATGAGTTACTATTTCAAGCCAACTACTTTTGATTCTTTCAGTTTAAATTAAACGTATTCAGATATTAATTGGAAGATATATTAATTAATCACAAGTATCAAAGACACAGATAATACTTTTTTCATCAGAAAGTGTTCAAATTATATACAAGAATTACAATTATAAATTTGAAAATATTACAAAACTGTTTTGATTAGACAATTCCTAAAGTATGAAAGACAAAGTGTAAACGATTTAAGTGCACTCAGACTTCAATTCTCAAAGTTTTTTGTATTTCTTCACATCGTTTCCTGTCTTCTTCGTGTCTGCGTAACATTTCTGACAATTCTATGTCTGACTTTGAAAACGATTTCCATTCACCAAGATTCCCCATATTCTTGTGACATTCCTAGAGAGAAGCGAAAAGAAGATAAGTTGTCTACACATCATAAAGTTAAAAAAAAACACCAAATGAAAAATATGAGTAGACACGACAGAAACACTGCTAAGCTAAAGAACTTCACAAGTGTAATACCCAAATAATTAGGATTTACTTTCCTCATCAGACTATAAATAAATTCATCAGAACTAAAATTTTAGTTAATATAATAAATACGCAAAGTAAACTAACGACATTTTAAACACATTGAGGGATAAAATCCACCCAGTGTGAATAATAACCGGACACATTTTTACACCATTTGCATAGGAAAAGTGGGGGATCCTAGGCAAAATAACTCAATGCATACATAAACCAACTGAAAACCCAAGAGACACTAACAAAGAAAGGATTTAAGGAAAACGAGAATTAGCCTTCAATCAATAATAAGAAAGGTGTCGTCCAGGTAAAAGTGAGCATAATGGAAGGGAGGTATACGTTGTGAAGCATTACAGAATCATAAATCCATCCAACGTTTTGAGTAATATGAGTAATTTAAGGATTGAATCAACAGACTATGTAGTTGGTACAGATTCAGTAAATGAAATATCCATGGTAAATTGAACTCAAAGTTTCATCATTTTAAATCGAAGTCATAATGTATTCGAAAATTTACCAAAGTACTGAAGGGTACATGGTATTACAGACGGAGTTTCCCTGAAGTCGCATAAGCAGATTTCTGACGTCAAAATTACGAAAAAGGAAACAACTTGCATCTGTAAAAGGGATTAAGCTCAAAAGTGCTAACTTATAACAAATCTTATAAATACTGTTCAGATAACAAGAAGCGTAATATAAAAAGACACCGAAAGCGCAAAATCCTAATGCTTTAGAAGCACTGTTAGTTCTAATTTTACGTCAAAATTTCGCTACTTTATGATTAATTTCGTCCACTTGTTTTCCATTAAATGTAGATGCCTTATGTGCTGGTTTCGTCATCGATTTGTGTTTTTCCTCTAAGGGAGGTATTCTTTTGTTTTATGTTACCATACTGGCTGAGCAGACTGTCACCAACCAATATTGAGCACAATCTTCTACTGCTCTTCTTTAAACCATCTACCCAACATCTGGTGCGTCAACATTACGCAACACATTCATGTCGAAGGGGCATGCAGTGAATTGTACTCAAAGTGTCACGTGAGAATAAATAACATTGTGTCACAGTGTTCTACAATCACGTAAATTAATTAATTATTCAGTCACGCTTTAATCACAGCACTCAAGATATATCTTTCAAGCTACCGGTTATCTCACAATGATAGCAGCTACATTAAAATATGTCTCCTCTAAAGAAGCACACCGGAAGCATCATTTAAAAAATACAATGTGGTTGGCGAAGAGATTATCGTAACCATGTTGCCTTCACGTCAAGTTACTGTTATTGACATGTTTCGTCCACTCCTCCAACACCTCTAAAAATCTACACCATTACCGTTTGAAAATTTCTAAACTTCTTCCGAATGACAGTTCTTGGTTTTCTTAACTACTTAGATACTCTAGTATTTATCACGATTTAGACACTACTCCCTCGAAAACTTTTACCCACACACTGAAACAAACTTGCAGTCATAGGAAACTGTTTCAAAAATATTTGATAAGTTCATATGTGCCTCACTGCAAACCAGTCAACTATCCGACCAATAGAAGAGCAAAAAGCAACAGCGATCCACCAGTGGTTTTACTTTTCACAGTCGTCAAAATGTTACCAATAGTATATATACAAAGAGATGTTCATCGGCATAAAAACATCAAATAGCAAGTAGATTGAGTTGATGTCAGAAAAGGCAAATGATTCACCGTTGCGGAGACAAATGAGAGACGTGAAAGGAACACAAAGAAACACAATATACAAGCCAAAAGTACCACAACACGAAGATCTGTGCAAATGGTGTGTTGAAGATAAGGTATACATAATTTGGCTATATAGAGATACCAAATTGTTAATAAACATTTTCAAGAAGTTGGTTTGTGACGATTAAATTTGATTTTAAAAGTTTAACCACGGATTGATATCAGTTAGAGGGCCATTGAAAATCAGTGAGAAGTCGTGACCAGTGATGTCCAACAAGTCAAGTGTGAGGATGGATTTCCCCGCAATGACAACGATTGGTGGTCGCGCTAAATCACGAATCGGTAGAAGATAGAATTCATGAGCCATTGAATCGGGTCCCAGTGGCTCAACGATTTACGAACTAGCCTTGTAACCCGAAAGTCCTGGGTTCGAAACCCAGTGGGTGCGTACTTCCGATGATTCTCAAACTAGGATGAAACAGCTGTCCAGTGCTCCCTGGTTTTCGATGGTACTCCAACTGATACCAATCAGTGATCAAACATATAAGACTAAACATTCCTTTACCAAGTCATCATCTACCGTCTTAATAACAGTTCAAAACATTTCCTTGACCAGTAGTATAAGAGAACAACTGTGCTCTGTTGATACAAATTTAGCAGGTAAATGATTATGCACTAAACTGTAAAGGATCATGTTCGCATGGAGGTCATTAGCCTACAGAGTATCTAAGGTCCTTTTATTCAACAACCTCTAACCACTTAGTAGATGACAATTAAGTTTATACGCGACATAAGAGAAAAGCGTTCCAGGATATCCTAATAAAACCTTATTGTGACAAAATAGAAATAATAGTTTCAAAGCAATGTATTTGCAAACCCAATGAGTGATGATGAACTGACACACACGATTGGTGATCATACTTCATCTATCTGCTAAATTAATGGCAGTAGGAGAAAATGATACCTAGCATCTTACACACAGATGACTCAGCACTCTCACACTTGTATGGTGGTCAGCATATGGAATTAGTAAACGGTGTGGCACTTTTATATCCAAAGGAAAAACCAGTTGTGAGAATAAGAGAAAAATATCGATAAAGAAAGGAAGACGAATTGCAGTATAAATGATATCATTCTATTTCACAGGTCTCATCAGCTGCAGACTACTGAAATTACAATGGTTATATAATGATAATAACATACTTAATTTAAACAAATAATATTATATCACATCATTATACATTCAGAGTTGAAAGAGGGGGGGGAAAAAAAAAAAAAAAATTAAGAGAAAAATACCTTGAATTTATACCAAGCCGTCACAGTTCAAGCAGTCTTCAGAAAATCCTACCGTAACACATATAATCCCATATTAATATCACACAGTGAAACAGTATTATTCACTGAATAACCTTTAGGATATAATTTATAAGTTTATTCACCATTCGCTTCAAACAAACAAGCCAGTTTCACAAACCAATTCCGTTTGAAAAGCTGACGAGAGAGCTAGTACCAGGCTAGTATCAAGGTTCTCCTCCTTAAGAATGTGCACCGTATGGAAAGACATATTATAAGAAATACTATTATTCTCGCATTGTGAAGAACTTCAAAACGATGTTGAATAACCACATCAGGCTGTATGGTCTGTCACCGAGATACACAGTGTCAATGAAGTCATAATACACAGAAAAGATTTACTTTAGTGGAGTAAAAAAAACAAAGAATCACAACAGAACTTTCTTGTTTATAAAAGGAATAAAACAAGACAGAAAGAACTGTGCTTTCAAATACAGATGTGAAATATAAAAGAGTATGAATTTCCAATACTAAATTTGTTGATGGTGAACTTTGTTAAACACAAAATGCATCGTACTACACGATGTAACACAAAATATTATCACTTATTATAGTTTTATGCCTGACTTTAATGTAAACTACACAGCCACTCTCTAACACAACACACACAGCACACTAAGGTTCCTACTTATTCTCAAATCAATTCAGTTAGACCTTTGTAGTCAGTCACACTACCAGAAATATAACTATTACAATCAAGAAGGATATTATACAAGCAATAGAAATAGATATTTTAAACGACTGAAATAATCTAAATACACTTGTCAAAAAGTTCTTGAATGCATTCAAGAAATTTAGAAAAATTACCTGTTTTTGTTTCAATGCGTTAGATGAAGAATGGCTTGAGTGAATTTGATTATGAAGTTGCTTTCTAACATGTTGTGCGTAGCTGAGCATCTGCAGTTCGAAAGATACATAGTAGATAACCGTTAACAGAAGTAGATTAAAACCAGAAATTAGATATAGAAGAGTCTCCAAAGAAAGCGAGATCTTGAAGTCCAGGCTTTAATTTTCATATGACTAGGCAGCTAATATGGAAAGCCGTGAAAGACTAAGACTAACTAATGCCTTTTAGGGGAGAACCTAAAAAACATGCAGTAGTGAGCCCTCAAGAATGCACTTTTGAGATGCAACAATTTCGCTTCCTGTTTTGACGTTCCCATCACAATAAGAGAGTCAACTAGGTCGTCTCTTAACAAATGACCTGAAAACAAGGAGAATAACTCCGTTGGTGTAGGGTCGGACAACGCTGCACTATGCTCCGTTTATACACAATCAGGATAATCCACCTCACAAATTGAATAAAGTTCAACAGGACTCATTCGCTCTTAAGGTTGATAATTCTATTATATTACCATTCCTTAGGAAGGGAACTAATCTCTTGGAAATGTATAGACGGACAACAGGAGGTATCACAGAATTAATCAAAAGGCATTCGACCACGAGAACTAGTCCTTTATACATCTGGCTTCCGTTTGCTAATTAGTGACTAGATAACCACCTGTAGAGTCCTCGGTAATGCAAACTACCCAGACAGGCAGATCCTCTTCATGAGTTTATAGGCAGAGTTTTATAACAACAACATCAAAATTACTCCTCATGAGGATAAAATCCAGTATTCGTTTATTTCCTCACAATTCTGAAACGTAATAACAGAGGAATGCAACTATCACAATCACTTCTGATCACTAATGAATCATCACGTCAAAAGTGGCTACATTCATTGGGAATAAATATCATAATTGCACTCAACATATCTTTTGCATGAAGCTACCAAAGCCACGTGATATATAAACGCTGGTGGTTACGAATAGAACTTACAGCCGAACGCTTCTCTGCTGCTTTTGCCTTTTGTAAGTCTTCTTTAGACAACGCAGAACTTCGTGCAGTGCCAGTTCTACACTCAACATTCTTGGCATTTCTAGAGGACAGATGGTTTGAAAGAGGCGTTAGGTGAAAATCATCAGATTTACTCTGACTGTCACTAGTTACACAGCCATTCTGACCGATTGATTTATTTTCATGATCACCATTCACATGACCATTTTGATTAGTAGATTTATTTCGCACGTCCTGAGTTTGATGATTTTCAGTTGAGCAGTGATTAGTCACTTGATCCACTTTTCCTTCATTTTCTTTATTATGATTATTGTCATTAGTAGAAGAATTACAATGACTGTCACATGGACCATTACTTTGTACGCTGTTTTCAGACTGTAGTGATTTCGTCTTAGATTTTCTCTGGAACTTCCTAATATGTTCAGCATAAAGATTTTGTCGTATTTTCCGCGCCAGCTGATAAGAACGGAAAGGAGGAACTATTTTAATCAGTTGTATATCAAGCGGAAGTAAACAAAAATATATTGACCATAACTAATTTGACAACACCCGTGACAAGGCTAAAAGGTTGTGGTTTATTTATGTAAGGAAAATGCATAAATTCTCAGCAGACATTGGTGGAGTTTACCGGTGTGTAGTCAAACCCATCCCACAATATGTAGTAAACACAAATGGTCATTCATGATGTAACTACACAGCAAATAACACTGTCTTTAGAATCAAAGTTACACACATGATGGATAAGATGAGAACATTCACAGCCTCCAGTGTGTGATGTGGTCACTGCAATCTTAAGTGTACCAGTAGCGTCAAGTTGGTAAATTTGAAAAAAAGAAAGGACATCAAAAATAATCAGTAATGCCTCAATTTATATGAAGCCAGTGGAAAAGAAAATGATTAACTCCTTATTTTATTATTGCATTTAAACAAAAACTTGGCACAACATGAGCGTTAAAAGGTGCACCACACAATATGATATAAAAACAATGAAAACGAAAGATATCCACAGGAAAATACAATAAATATGAGCTCTTTCATCAAAGGCATTTACTTGTACATTTTTCACTATGTACGTGTTTCGTTGATTGAAGAAATATAGGCGGTTGTAACATGATCTTGAGTGACAGATCAAGGAGTTATTCGAAGAACTTTACTAAGAGCTTGCATGTTTAACTCTCCAATCACTGGTGATGTGAAACAGGGTTCTGACAAAGTCTGTGTGGTGTTATTTCATTAACAAAAAAGTGTTCGAAAGGAACACGTAGTGTTAAGACAGTCTTGTTAGACATTGCACTACTACAGAGAAAGAGCTTATAGCAGCAATCATCTAACGATTAATAGCGAAACAGATAGATTAGGATTGTAAACAGCGATGTGCATGTAAGTAGAATAAAACGCCAAAGTAGTGTACACATAGTAGGAATGATACAAAATAATTAAGTATAATGATAATTAGTTGAACATTTTGGCGTAAAAAGCGATTTAAAGTAGATGATTGTTATATATGTCCAAACCAAGTTCACTTTTAACGGTTTGAAAAAATTTGGGCATTGGGTATATGATATTCATTATAATAAAGGCTTTTGTATTTCCCAATGAATGAAAAACAAAACGATATTGTTTTGTTTTTCATTCATTGGGAAATACAAAAACCTTTATTATAATAGATGATTGTTTGTGAAAGTACAGAAGTGAACTGAAATCTTCACAATAAGTATAAAACTGCATTATGGAAAAGATATTACTTTGATAAATCACACAGTGTTATACAGCGATAATAACTGATGACGTTTCGAGCACAAACTATTTCTCATAATCATTTCAACTTGTGTGAGTGACTTGACATGATTATGAGCAATAGTTTGTGCTCGAAACGTCATCAGTTAATATCACTGTGTGATATATCAAAATAAAATCTTATCTATGATGAAATCTTTACTAAATTAATGCTTCATATTTTATAGGAGAGCTGAGACTACTGCTCTGAGCGTAAACTCAAAATCCAACATGTAAGTCAACCGAGTGATGCAAGAAGTTGTATTTTGTGATAATTGATGGGGACTAAAACAGGTTAATATAGTACTTCCTTTCGAATCTTGAGACCTATGTTTGGCATCAGTCTAGGGGCGACGTCCTCAAGCTCTTCGAGTTGAACTCTTTGTATCCACTTATTTGGTAAGGAGCAGTCAAAATTTGATTTCTTCGTTTCGTTTCTGGACAAAACCGACTCGAATAATGAGTGATTTAAGCAAAACTTATCAGTATCTGCTACAAGCGTGTGATAACATTAGAAATTCGAAACCGGAAATCGAGTTCATCCACCTTCAACACTACCCGTTAATTCAGCAATAACACCAATAATAAATGAATCCAGATACTAGCTAGTGTCAGAAGGATGTATTAATTCTCCAGCCTATCTACATTGTACATGTTCTATCTATAAATGCTTTGCTTTCCTACTACCTGTATGATTAATCACATCGGCTTCATTTTCGTGTAATTTTGGAAACAACCAGAAGTGGTAGACTAGGGAACTTTACACAATTCACATGAACAACCCTCAGTCAGGTGATATTAAATGACCTGTAAAATGTAAGGTTTAACGACATGCTTCATAAGGTTGAAATCAAATCCTAGACATTGAGATGTCAGAGCGCAAACCTTTATGCATACAGAATTTCTACTAGTATCACACATTTTGTTCAATTGTATCATACACTCACAACATAATTCCGTCAGATCATGTGTATAGCAGTTTATTTTATTCCAGAGGTGTAAAAACTTGAACTAACGACAACAGTTCAACTGTTGTTTTCTGAATTCAAGTAATACCTCCTCTACGTAACAATGATTTCACGAAATTTACAAAAATGATATTTTGTGGCTTTTTTGAGAGGATGAATAATTAAACAGTCGTTAATTAGACACTACAAAGAAAAACAACTAATGAGATAACTTCTAAGACTGAAATCTAGACTAACGTAAGCATTTGTCAATAATTTATAAAAAATATCACAGGAAATTGAGTGTATTAGCCACAATTGAGTAGGTTGGAAAAGAGGATATCACACACACACAAACACATGCCTATAGTTTTAGTTGTTTTCAATAACAGTGTAGACTATTGGTATTCGGGTTTGTAGAATAATGGAAACGAAAGAATTCTGAGTGTATTTCATCTCAGAGATTATTTCACGGAATTTCCTAAATGTCAACTTTTCCAGTCAGTCTAAAATAAACAAATAAGCCATTTGACCGGAACCTAGTTACCACCTACCTTCAAGCGATATTCATCATTATCTGTATCAGGGCCTAATCCACGAGATTTCGACTGCATTGACGGTAGCAAACTATAATCTTTATACGTGTACCTTTGCTGTGTTTGGAAGTGTGGAACTGAAGGCTTTTGATTATAACAGTTTCTTGAGGTATAAGAATATTTATTTATGGACAATTTGTTGTTACTTTGAAAATGTGTTTGCATAGCTGGATCTGCGTTCAATTGTGGCGAACATAATGCATGCAAACGTGTTCTTACTAGTGGTGCAGCAGAAGAAGAATGATACTTGTGACAGAACTGTCGATGAGCTTTAGCCAATTCTGCTTGTTGTAACATACCCATACGAAACACACCTGATGCTGAAGTCTGAGACGAACAAAGAAGATAAAGACAATTATATGAAAGTAATTACAGAAATTAAATTTACACCTGCAGTAAATATGCAATTCAAATTGTAACATCGAACAAATAGTCAAATTTGCTGACCAATATTCGCTAAACTGAAACCAAATTATGAAACGGAGAAAAATTTTGAAATTAATCTATCAGACGATATTCAGAATGTGTATTTAAAAATTAAGAAAAAACAACTAAGAAATTGATAATCACAAGGCCTTAACTATATTTCAAAATTGATGGAAATCCAATCAATTCCGCAAATACAAGTTAACTAAGAGTGAAACGAATGAATTACTCGTCTGTTGGATGTTTAACTGATAGCACGATAATAATAATATGTCCTGCTATCATGTTTCACTGAACTCTCCTTTCCAAATAGTTATTTTTATTTGATTGATGGTGGCTAGCAATGGAATCCACAACGTCAATGTCCTTCTAGTCAGAACTCGACCCAACAACAATCTGTCAATGGGCAATTCAAAATTGTAATTCTATCCGATGGTCGCTTTTCTACTTTACGATATCTAGATAGGTTCTTTATCAATGATCTCTGAGTACATATCACATAACTATGAGTATAGATCAATAAACAACCCATATATATCAGTATTTTAGGAATCAAGATTAATTTCAGTGTGCTCGAAACATCACGAGTCAACATCGTAGGTGATCACTGCTGAAGAATTCCACACTAAAGTGAAACAACTGTCCAGTGATTCTCTAACTAATACTGGTTAGCGATGAAACCTGCATTGAGATTTATATATTTCATAACATTGGCCACTATTTTAAATGCGTGAAAAACCATGGAATTGTGTAAATGTGACTATTATCTGATGCATTCTGTTAATGTGTCAAAACGCATGGAATTTTTGACTGTTGCCACTGAACACCGCAAATGTTAATCATGTGACCGAATGAAAATTCCACTACTTGAGAAATAAGTCATGTGTAACTTACTGCAAATCTGATAACATCAAGATGAGTTGTAAGTACACAGGGTTTTCATTAAAAACGATAAATGAAGAAACAACAATCATCTTTTACACAAATATTTTCTACTTTCCTAGGAATTCGGTTAACTTTTGAATACAGAAGTATCTTTAAAAAAACTGTTCATCTAACAACTGAAATCTTTCGCACTACGCTCAGCATAAACAACAAGGTTAGGATCAGATGGCCTGTCAGAAAGAATTAGCAACAAGAAACTTTGACAACAAACCAACCAAGAGCCGATCGTTAAAAGTGTGTGAGAGAAAATGGATCAGGCATACGCTGAGGAGGCCATTGAACGACATCGCTCGCCAGCTCTCAAATGCAATCCGATTGGGAAACGAAAAGTGGGTCGTCCGAGGGTGATATGGAGGAGATCGTGTCAGCAGGAGATGAGAGATTATGGTCAATCGTGGACCCAGCTGAAGAGGACAGTAGCAAATAGAGCGAAGTGGAGATGTATTGTTGAAGCCCTATGTTGCACTCGGAATAATAAATAAGTAATAAAATAACCTAGACAAAGCCACAACAAGACGTAATTTGTCCGAATCGCGTAATGTATTTGCGCAACACATTTCGAACAATCTGATCACGCACAGATTTGTCATAGAAATACATACGAAATTAATAAAGAGTTGAGATGTGAGAAAATAAATTTAGGTCAAGTTAAAAGGACAAAATAACAATGAAGATCGCTTAACCAAATAACAAAGGTAATAGTACATCTACCCTGACAAGGTTTACCAAGGAAGGTTTAGTGTGGTGACGAATTGTTTTTGAACGCATAAAGGTGGTTTAAACTTTCTAATTCCTAGGGCCTCCATAAACTTTAGGATACGCTCAAAACACGTTCTATAGATAGGTTTAAAAGATGTGTAAACGTCAATTTTATGTCCTGTCTCTATAATATGTTTCGCAATAGACGAGCTAGATCTCCTGCTCTCACCATTAATGGGTTCTGAGGATTCTATTTGCTGCTGGAGCCATTTAGGGGACTAATTGTTTTAAATTAAATAACTGTCATGTTATAATGGATGGAAAATAAGAAAATTATCACAAGCACAACACTTACCGGATAACTAATGCCATTAAAATTTTTCCCACAATTTTCAATTCGATTGTTATTACTCGAATGCTTAGTCACGAATTGTTCATTTGCCTCTTGAATTTGCCAGTAGGATTCAGTTGGCTGATTGACTGAATAATTTTCTCTTGGAAAGTTGTCTTTAGTATTAAACTAGCAGACAGACAGATGATAATTTAAACACGTATGGTAGACAGACAGACTCACTTGGTAATATTAAATATGACAGCAGACAAATGGAGTCTTAGCCCACAAAGTAACTAACAATGAGTATCGTCAAACACTATAGAGGTGTCAATTGTAGTTGTAGGGAGCTTCGAAAAAGAGCAAACCAGTGAAATATTGACGACTGATAGCAGTTTATATAAATCGAAATCCAGAGAAGACACCTACTTACTTTGGATTTCAATCACTGATGTCTTACAGTGGAAGCAGACTATTCACCCAGTACCACTTACAATAGCTTAGTCAAAATTTACTAAGTGGAAAATAGATAACTCATAAAATAATCTTAATTAGGCTACCTAAACTATCAATCAAATTTTTATCACTAAATATTAATTATCGGGTAACACTTGAAAATTAACTTTATTCTGCTGCGAAAGTGTTTTCCACTCTTAAATCCATGGTGATCCATTGAAAAACGGCTTATTTAATGCTGAATCATTCTCTCACTGAGAAACACTAGCATACTTGGATGACTGAATGATACTTGCTTCGCATTTCTTCTTACTAATTGATTGAGAACCAGCAAAACTACTGTTATTCGACCCACTGTACTTCAGCGCATGATAAAATATGGCTGACTGCTTGAGTACTATTATCTGAGTGAAAAAGCGCAAAATATCAGACTGAGTGTGGCGTGTTCTACTGGTAAGATTTTTCAGTATTACATAAGAGATGTTCATCGGCATAAAAATAGCAAATAGCGGAGAGATAGATTTGACGTCAAAGAGAGTAAGTGATAAAGAAACATAATATGAAGGGCAGAAATACCACAACACGGAAGATCTGTGCAAACGACGATTGTCAGATAAGGTGTACATAACTTCGCTATTTAGAGATACCAAATTACAAATAAACATCCCGTTACCAAGTCTCTTGTCTTCTACCGTTACAAGAGAATGTCAAGTTTATTCTTCCCAGGAAAAGGTGAACGACCAAAAACGGCATGCAGTTTATGTAGTCATATTCGTGATCAATAAACTTTGGAAAAACTGTATCGTGATTGGTTTATAATGTACCAATAGAAATTTAGTGGAACGACTTTTGATCTGGATTAAGGCAGAGTGTCTAGGACACAGCTGACATAGAAAGTACAGACTAGTTGACTTTTCTCCTTCTTAACTAATATCTATGAGATGAAGAAGTTATTTAGAAGAAAAAAACTAACAGACTACTTACAAAAAGTGGCTCGTTTATATTGGGTAGTAACTTTGTTTGAGAATAAGTTGAAGATGGCGGTGGTGAGAGTGGCAGTCTCAGTGTAGAATTATATCTCATTGCATACATATCGTCTTCTCCTTCATCATTCAAAAGTGTTCCATGTGTAAATAACACTGGGTCAGATTGAAAATATTCTCTGTCATTCATTGTCATCTTTGAAGTTGGACAAGGTGAAAGATCATAATGACCAAGAGCTTTTGATGATCTGTTGGTTATATTTAATGTAGCAAACACAGGTTGAAACATTTCACAAAATTTCCATTAAAGTTATGAAATGAAATCATCAATTATTCAGTATGTAACAAAACTCTAGACTATTTTTGAGTAATCTTCTCTTCCTGAATCCAAAATGAATTCACAGTATAACGCAACGATCAACGACGAACACTTAGAAACCTTTGCACTTAAAAGTTCTATGTATCTCGTCTCTCAAATCTCACAAACTTCAGATTCTTTAAGAGACAAACTTTGAGGAAGTAATATTATATAAGGGGTACATTTAATTTTGTTAAACTTAGAATCCACTAGGTTATCTGTAAATAAGACTTGTCATTCTCTGTACAACTGCATACAACTTGAAGTATTCACACTTATATGCTTCCTTGTTCGATATTCCCCCAGAATATAATTCCGTTGTGAAATTGTGAAATAAGATATGACCTAAAATTATTCACTATGATTCAAAAGGTCTTACCATGGAGTAGTGTTTATTCTCTACTGAAGAAATCAATACGAACGGGTACATTGCATAGGAATGAATGCATCTTTTCTGATACACAGTGAAATAAGTTGGTCGGTTCTTATTTCTAATGCCTACATTTATGTAGTCAACTAATTTTTGATAGAATACTTATACTCTTCTATGATGGTGTCTCTCATTGGCTGAAGCGTTCGACTTTCACCCAATAGGTCTTGCGTTCGAATCCCATTCTATCTACTTCAGCCTGGACAACAAGGTAATATCTTCAGCCCTAATAAAATACTCTTGGTTTATAGCCTGAAATATGAAAAAATCTGTTTTTTGGTAATTGAAGGTAATAAAGATATTTCATTAAAAATTATGCACCCTACCCAGATTGTAATTGTGACTTCACTTTGTATAGTTGACCATATGTTTTAGAACAACTTCTAACGTTTCCTTGACGAATATTCAATTTATTTGAAGCAATGAAATTCAATTTTGTCCTTGTCTCCTTTTTATAAATTAGTTGACGCCCAATAAGATCTAAATATATTTGATAGAATTTCAAGACGGAAAGAATATTTTATCTGCCATAAAGACTAACATTCGATTATAATCGTTTCAGCTACTAAAATATCTATCTATTTAAGGTGACTTCGGATTAATCAAGCTTACATTAACTGAACACATTTAAACAATCAATCATATCTTTAAATATTCCCATTATTAATATTACAACAGGACATATTAGCGAACAATGTTGTTTTCAATTAGATATTCTTCAGGCTTTATTACAGACAAATCGACCGTATTGCTACGAATTCTCAATTGGGTCCAATTTTGGAAGATTTCTTTCTTGCTAAGCTTGAAAATGCTCCATTGAAACAATTAACAGATAGAATGCATTCTTATTTTCAAGAGTAGATTTGATTTGTTTTTCAAGTTTGACCACGGATCGATATCAGTTAGAGAACCTTTGGAAACCACGGAGTACTGGACAGCTGTCTCATCTTAGTTTGGGACCCATCAGCAGTATGTGCCCACTAGCTTTCGAACCCAGAACCTTCTGGTTGCAAGGCAGGCTCGTACACCATTCAGACACTGGGACCCGACTCAATGGTTCTATAAATGATATTAATCCGTGGTCAAACTCGAAAAACAAATCAACCCCTGAATTTTCTTATTTTCGTTATGTTGATGATACATTTATTATTCTTGATGAGAAAGCTGACAAGAATGAAATGTTAATAAAGTTTAATGATGCACATCCATCGCTCATCTTCACTTGTGAAGAAAAAAATGATGGTAGACTACACTTCCTTGACGTTCATTTGAGCAGAAGAGAGGATGGTTCACTCAAGAGAGATGTCTATAGACAACCTACATGTGTAGGACAATACACATATTTCTTCAATCTTGTACTAATCCGATACAAAATCAATTTGGTTAGATGCCTTACGAATAGAGCAAGAAGGAGGTGTACAGATGACTCCCTAGAAAATGAATTAGGATACATCCAAAATACTCTGGTCCAAATGGGTTACCCTGGTAGATTTGTACGGAGACACATGAACACCAGGTATAATAAAGAGAAACTGACAACAGTTAAAAAGAAACAACTGTTCCTAAAATTCCAATTCAATCGGGACGTCGCTAGCGAAGTCCTACATCTAAGATTATCGAGAGCAATAAAACCGACTTATACTGCCACCAACCTTTATTTGTCATTTGCAGCTGACTCATTATAATTGCTTAAACGAGAGAAAAGCTGCCCAGCTGTGCCACTTCTATGTGTATCTACAAATTCAGTTGCTTCTGCGGAGAAAGCTATGTAATGTGAACAACTAGACAGCTCAAGAAGCGTGGTTCAGAAAAGGACAAATAAAGTCTATAAAAAGTTCTATTTTGACTCATTTGATTGATAGCAGTCACCACCAAGTGGACAGAACAAGTACCTTCAAACTTATCCATCTCATTCCATTGAACCTTTCGAACGGAATTCGAACCCGTCATTTACACTTAGCCGAAGCTATGGGAATTCAAGAGAACAATAATAGTCTTTACATACAAAAGAAGTTTGTTCTACCTTTGCCTCTCCATTGGCCTAGGTAAATTCTAATCAAAACCCTACCACCCTTTCTTATTTTCCATTTCCTTCGTACTTTTATGATATTTATCTAAACTCTGATCATTTGTCCACTTCACCTTTAGTACTACGTAACTTTTAAGATTCGACCTAATTTATTTATTGAATTATCTACATACACACATATTACTATCTTCGTTACTCTTATCGCCACGTGCATGAACCTTACTACCATTATTTCGCTATCATTATCAGCATCGTTATTACTGACGTTCAAAACTTTTAACACATTATTATTGTCATTATTTGATCCACACACTCATCATCATTGGTTAAAATTTCTAAATATAAATCTATGTAAATTAGAGGACAATATTGTTCGCTTATATGTCTTGTTCTCATTAATCATATTATAAATCATAAAACAATGGGTCACAACATTTATTGTCTTAGGATTTCCTAACATAATAACATGATTACAGCAATAATACACCTACATAAAAACAGTTACATCAGACCAGTTTTCTGATCTATTGGCCATAGATGAATGTAGGCTCAAATCAAGCTTATGTTAAGCGATATATATCAAATGAATCCATTTGGTGGATTAATGAACATAAAAGTGTTGCGATTGGCGAACTTTGTCTCCAACTGCTCGAAGAGAAACCTCTGACTAGATATCGCATTCATTGAGAAGGTAATACAAACTAGTAGAAATAACTTGTCAGAGAAAGGAGTGAAAGGTTGTAGTTTACCCTACACTACTGCCTTGAGTCTTTTCAGTCAATTTTTCAACTCAACTAGAGCTGAAAATACGGTATCAAAGTTCCACTGAAATTGTCAATGACTGCTAAGAATGTATATAACACGACTGGAAATCAATGACTTCTAAATCCCAACTAACTGATTGAATATTTTCTATTGATAAAATTTCTATTAATCATAGTTTTAGTGCTTCTAGTATAACTATATCTTTGAATATACTTTAACTGCTTGAGATAAATAAATTAACTTAGATTGTGATTATATAAATAACTAAACAAGATGGAGTCAACATTTATGAACAATACTGTAAACATTATCTACTCATAAACTATTATTTGTGATTGGATAAACGTGGTATCCGCTTGTCTTAATTTGTTTAAAGTGCATTAGTATCTCAGTGAACACCACAGTGTGTGGACTATTTGAAAACAATAGCGCCTATTTTACACAACATGTACTGGTAAAAACGTTATGTATAAAGGATTTTCATCTTTCTCAGAGAGAAATATTATTTGACAAGGTAACTCAGTCATGGGCTGACATCAATTAAAGAACCCTTGAAAGCCAGGGAGCACTGGGTATCTGTTTCATCTTAGTTTTGAACTCTTCAACAGTGTGCACCAATCACCCCCTATGGGGGATCAAACTTAGGACCTTTATGTTACGAAGCGACCCAGCTATCTAGGGGAATCCAGTGACACAGTTAGTTCATCAACTAATCTCAGGAAACTTTAGATGAATGTATGAATACTCACACCTTACAGTTGGAACAAGTTATAATTGCGAATGATTAATCTCCTAAAGGAAAACATTAAACAAGTCCAGTTTCGAATTTTACTTTGACGATAAAGTAATCTACTAATTTTTCTGAGAATGAAAGCATACACTTTCCATATCCAGCTGCTTACCTTCACCGACCATAATCGGTTCACCATATTGATAATTTTTCTTCAATGTGGTCGGTGGGTTTTTGCTACCATTACCAGAATTATTCTTTTCTAATTGCAATTTCTGTAACTTTTGACTGCAATGATTCCAATGAGTTGAAACGTTCTCATCCTTTGACTGAGTAACAGAGCCTTCTGGAGAATACTGAGAAAAAGATGTTGGAAAAATTATTTACAAGAATAGGATGGTAAGCCCTTGAAGTGGAGTAAAATAACGAAACGACACTAAAAATTATTGCAATATGCATTAAAGTAAATGAACCTTAGAGTAGCTTAGTTTACTGATGGCATTTATAGCACAACTTATTTTGTATACTTACGTCAAGATACTTTTTAAACTTTATGACTTATTTCTTAAATTTTGATTGTTTCTAATTTTTTGATTTTTATGGTCAGATTACTTTCCATACTTCTAGTTTTAACTTTACAGTGTTCTTATTGAAAATATGAGGCGTTGGTTTAGAGAACAGAAATTCAACGGTCAACGATTCATTACGCCTAATCGTGCTAGTTCTAAAGACTAGTATACTCAGATAGATTAGTCTCAGAGAGTAAAGACGTCTCTTCAGTCTAAGTGCTCAACTTTTAAGTAATGTTATTAGATGGTTGGAGGCAATCGGTAGGAAGCCTTGGATCCAGGTTTTATGCTTCTTCGCACTCGTCATCAAAGTGCATCTGCGATCTTGAAGGAACTTCTGAGATTCAAACCTGTGTCACCTAGTGCAGCAATCAGAGATATTACCACTGAGCTATCCGGGCTCGCGATTGACCTCCCGTGGGATTGTATTAGGTAATTTTCATTGGACACTAACTAGTGTCATGTGTCTAGTTCTTTGTTTACTGCAGACTGAATTCTATCAGTCCAAGGCTTCCTGCCGATTGCCTCCAACTATAATTAATGTTACTCAACAACCAATTTCATTTTTCTGCAGTTGACAAAGAGCCACACCTATTGTATGAAGGCTGGTAATAATATATGGCTACCTGAACCATGACAGGTGAAGGGGTACTCTAAGATATGACCCAATGGTCTGCAGTCGAGCTCCTAGACCAATGAACCGTTGGTTCACTACTCATCAAGACTGTCACAGAATAATCTTTAAAAAGCGCTCACAAAATGGTGAAAATAAATCTTTTCACCATCACTAACAATTCCCAGTTAGTATTGATGAGTCTAATGAGTTCGTTTTTCCGCAAAAACACGAACTGATTGCACAAAGACTTGTTTCTGAAAGCTTTTGGAGTAACTGTCTTATCTAGAGGAGGTGGAACTTATTGAATAATTATCACTCTGACCAAGTTAACTTTTAATAAATTAATTACTTCCAACACAAAAAGATTATCCTTATCCGAAAAAACTGTGCTAAGATTCACTGGAATTCAACATTTATTTGTTTATAGTGGATTTTAACTAAGTAATTATTTTTTTTGTCACTCAATGTTCATAAATTAAAATAAATGATTGATTTACATGACGAATAGGAATTTCATCTCATCACTCTATAGAACTGTGTAACAGTTATTTATCCGGAATAGAAAGAAGGATCTACACACCTCAACATCACCCTGTTATTGATAAACTTATGTAGTCAAAATCTGAAGAGGTATGTCATTAGAATCAGGTCAGTCTAAGGTATTGATGCGAAATTATTCAGTGTCATAAGCAGATACCTGAATTTTATTTCGCGATCGGTTGGCCTTTTAAGCCATAGCATAATATTAAGACTTTTTAAGAAACTAGTCAATAATAAACAGAGCAGACACAAAATATCCTGTTTGGAAAACATTTGTTCTGCCGATAACACTGCATTTCAAACATTTGTTTTAAAGACAAACTAAGTTAACATTTTCAAGTTTGACTCACGGGTGTATGACATTTAGCTCTCAGGTCAATATCAAATGCCTCTTTACATGATTCAGTGGCTTCAATAATACTACCATCTTCAGATAGTAAATTTAATGGTGGGACTGACTGAGATTGTGTAAATTCATCATTCTTTTTCTGAAGAGAATCATTCATTGTATTAGCAAAGAGGTTATAATTTTCAGAAGAGAATACTAGCATGTCATTATTGTCATCATTGAAGTCAAGTAAATTGTTGGTGGTGGTATAGCCATTGTTGTTGTTGTTTCTAGTATTAGTATTCAGTGAATAATAGTTCTCATGCTTTTTCTTTTGGTTAATCTCTTCACCATCACTTTCTTGACCACTGCTGATTTCATTTAAACTATCTTCTTCAAGTATTTCTGATTCACTCATTTAAGTTTATTCTGAAAATGAGAATAAAAAGGAGGTGAAAGGCAGTGAAAACAAATTTTCTGAAAAAATACGGCTATTAAAAACGTCTGGACAATACGTGACGCTAAGATTATCAGCCAAAAAAGATTGTTGTATTATAGGTATGATCGACTTCCAAGTATTGATTTTTTTTTAAACTATCGGGAGTAAATGACACCACCATTGGTAATAAGTTGTTGAGTTTTCAGTCCTTACTAATGTAAGTGTAAGTATTATTTCTCTTAATAATCCTAAGCTTTTATAAATTAGTTTATAACACACACAAAGAAGATTGAACACCTGTGTTATCTTGAAGTAATTGCAAAAAGGCACAGTTGATTGTGTACAAACTAAATCAGTATGAGTTTAACATTTCCCCCTAAGTTACCAGTGAAACTATCCCCAAAATAGCTTGGCGCCTGACTGAAGCCAAGCTGGGTTTAACGAGAATGTCGTCTGTGAATTTTATATTCACAAGTCTGTTTCGCAGTTTTTTAGGAATGCGTAGCGCCCGTTAACTTGCTCCAACTAAATGCAATAAAGGAGTTTCGTGGCTTCTTGTATTAGATCCGGCCGATTAAAATCATCAAGATTTCCTTTGAGCGCAATTCAAGTTGCAGCCACTTTGCTTTAGTTAATAAGAAAGTCTATTGTTACCAAGCTGTAAAATTTAACCATATGGAAACAAATCAAAAATCCACTTCATCATCTGAGAGCGGATACTTTATTTGAACAATTATTTAGGTATCTATCCGACAGATGTTTACGATCTCTTTCTCACGTTAGGTGGTATAATAAGGTAAGTAATGTTGACGTTAGGCGTAGAGTGTTGGGCAAAGAGGGAAAATCAATCGAAGAGGCTATAAAGTTACATAGATTGAGATGGCTAGGTCACGTGCTGCGCATGCCTAACCATCACCTCCCCCGACGGGCATTACTAGCTGATATAGGTGCACGTAGGAAGATGTAGACTTCCTGGTTGGGGCCCTCGGGATGGTAAAAACCAATGGTTGGAAACAATTGGTGACATGGCTCAAAATCGTTCTCAGTGGCGCAGATGCATCCACTCCTTGTGACTTATGATTTCCAATTAAACTTTTGTTCTCCGTTATTACTATTCCTTTGTCTCACACCTCTGTTTCCTGTCTATATTATGCATTTCTTCTACTTTCTTCTCTTGCTTTGCGTGCTACATAGATTGTGGCGACTTGAACTGCCGCACATATGTGCAAAGTTCTATGTCGAAAACCGACCGACCGACCGATAGGTGCAGGTTGGAAAAGAGTAAGTGGTGGCCAAACAAAAACATTGCATCAATCCATGAAATCCCTGACAGTTAAACTGAGTCAGGTAGGGAGATGCAGACTTCCGGGTTGGGGCCCTCGGGACTCTAAGAATCAATGGCTGGAGACAATAGGTGACATGGCTCAAAATCGTTGTCAATGGCGCAGATGTATTCAGTCTCTGTAATCTTTCATATTCCTTTCTACTATTACTCATTCTGTTTCACTCTTATACTTGTCAAAACTATTGATTCTCTTCACTCATTTTCTTGTCTACCTTTGTGTGCTATTTGGAACGTGGCAACTCGAACTGCTGCACTTCGGTGCCACGTTCTATGTTGAATCCAGCCAGCCAGCAGCGACAGTAGCAAATAGAATTAAATTCAATGCGAGAAATCCTGATTACCGAATTGCCCGTAACTAAACTCGGAAAACAGTTAAAGAGATCATCAAAGTGATAAATCCATGGCGGGATGGTCCTGTCTTAACAAATATATTAGAAAGGGGCTGAATATTCTTCCAAATAACACAATGCCTTAGCCACTAGGCCACTAATGCCCTATAGACAGCTCTTTCCGCAAGACTTTAAAAATGTTTACAGCTTATTTACAACGAGAAAAAAGGGAATAAAACACCCTCATAAGCGTAAAAAACATTGTTAAGAGATGCTAATAATTACACAACTATCACTGCCACTGAAGCTCAAATTCAGGAACCTATTCACTAGTCTCAACAGCAAGGAGAGGAACTGGCTTCTACCAGTTTGACAATAGTGCAGTGTGTAGAGCAATCACATACTGTACTTATAGATGCAAACTGCCAGCTGATTAGATGCACTGTACTCGTTGTATATATATATATATATATATATATATATATATATATATGAATGGATTTCTACAGAGTGAAGCATTATGTAGGATGTAGGGGGTCATAACTATTATATTTACCTGGTAATTTCTGTCGATGTCTTCTGTGTTTTAGTCATTTTGGGTAGTGACTTCGTAAACAGAGCACACTTTGTTAAAGTGTATACTCAGTTTGAGGTCTGAATGCTCCGAATAAATCTAAGCAAGTTGTACACACAGGGGTGAAACACGCCCCTAGAAGAAGACAAAGAAACCACAGAGAAATGGAATGAAATAGATGACCCAAAGGAGAAATGGTGTAAACCTCCTCTTTTCGTCGCAATAATTCTCTCTTAAATTCCCAATATATGAATGTATTCTCCACATTATAATGTGGGATGTAAATTTTTTTACTTACATTCATACTCTCATTAACGAGTAGTTTTCAAGTAAGTAAATATGGGAAATATTCCTGCCCGTTTTGACTTGCATTTTAAAACCATCTGGCTGTGCAGGATATTTGGGAAAGATTTTTCATGGGAGGGCGCCACCCATAGGGATGAGGAAATATATTATCTCCGTTTTCACAAATATTCGTTACATGTGTGATAGCTACAATAATTATTAATTATGGCTGAATGATCATAAAAGATAATTGTTTATTATATGCATATGTATGGTAGACTTTAACAATGATTATAAGGAAAACCAGTATATATCAAAAAATCGTGGTTTGCTTTTATCGAAACTCACATCTATTAAATCCACATGACGATAAATAATGAACTACTGTGACATTTATGTCCGTTGCTATGGTGAGGATATACGTTACCACGTTTTAAATACACCGCGCATCAAGTATTCTCGTCTTTCATTGACTAGAACCCTGGTGGTCAGTTTGATATTTGAATAGTCCTAGGTAGGTGATGTCGTGTACAGCTTTGTGTGGTTCCGTCATGCGTTGTTAGCAAGCAGGTGTGATGGGCCAAGTTAAACTTTAGACACCAGTAACTACCAATTAGCGAACGACGTCAATTTATCCAATGAGATTCACGAACGCAGTTCAATGTTGTATAGCGCTTGATTCATTTCATTTACGTGCCCTTACAAGGTTACGTTTGCAATTCGAGGAGGACACTGTTTTCCAGTATTGTCTGGATTTAGAGTTGCTCCGGAAGGAGCGAACTTGTTCGTGTGGGGGTATCATGACCTTAAAAAGCTATACCAGGTCAATTGATGGATTTGTCCATCGTTGTGCTATATGCTCCAAGCGTGTTAGCATTAGAGAGGGTAAGTTGATAATTTTAATATTTCGTAGGAACTTTTTTTGCAAGGTCACACCTCTCGTTGACGCAAATTTTATGTATCTGCAACTACTGGGTATTGAAACAGCCAGTGAGAGCTGCAGCTGCCGAGACGGAGAACAGCCTCGTCTCAACAGTCCAATGGTACCAGCATTGTAGAGATATTGCATCTTGGAAAATGGAGAAGATTACTTCGTTGTTGGGCGGGGAGGATGTAGCAGTGCATGTAGACGAGACAGTGTTGGTAAAGAAGAAATATCGTGGTCGTCAGAGAGCAAACAACATTTGGGTTATCGGTTTATACGACACGTCCCTTCGAAAAGGGTTTGTTGAAAGAATAGGAGACATGAAGGCCATACGCTCCGTTGAGACTGGTTGGCCTATTGGTTGCTGACGATGTCTACGAACCCGCTGGTTCTTATGCTTTTCTAGAGTTGTGGTTATATGTGTTACATTAGAATAGTCAAATGTTACATTTATGTGGATAACGTCTGCTTTCGGCGACTCTAAACTATAGCAGCGCAAACCGAATCTACCTAGCGAACGGACAAAATGACCTAGACAAGAATCATTGATATAAGAATAAAACTTGGGCACTGTGGTAGAGTGTAATTCCATTATGGGTAAATTTTATTTTGATAGAGTCTCACAGTGTTATACAGTAATATTTACTGATGACGTTTCGAGCACAATTTATTGCTCATAATCATATCAAGTAAATCACACGACTTCCTAAATTCATTTATATAGTTCCACTGTTTTTCACTTGATTTGATTGGTAGTATTATTTTCCATTTTTCAGGTATGAGTGATGATTCATTCCTATTGCATGTGTTGGGTGTAGACTCGATGAGCAAGGATTCAGTAATCAACCTCTCTCTCCACCTACCTAGATTACTTTTTAGAATTTTAACCCTCTCCCACCCTATTGTGTGATTGTGTGTTAATGCATGCATTGCAATTGCTGAGCTTTTTCTAAATTACCTATCTTCTCTGGGTCAACCATTCTTACCTACCTACGAACCCGTGGATTCTTATGCTTTTCTAGAGTTGTGGTTATATGTGTTACATTTTCTTGATCGATATATCTCAGTCATGTGTTGTAATATTGCGTTTTTTACGGAATGACATTTAAATAGCTATGGCAGAAATGGATACTAATTGACGAAGCCTTTTAAGAAGTTCATTGCAGGTAATCAATGCGAGTGAAAGCACCACAGACGTAAGTGAAATTTTTGGTGAAATAATCCTAAGGAGGCGTCCATAATGAAAGTCTCCGTTTTAGAAGTATCTCCCACTATTTGACGAAATGAAAGTAAAGTCCAAACTACATCACGTTTAAAACCCTTTCGAAATCAGGCGAACAGAACTGGTCGCCCACTAGCAAAATTATCTGTGAAGGATAAACCTGAAGTTAGCTGAAATATCTCTCTCTGTCTTACTTATTTAAGTGTAGTTAGTCATTGCTGCATCAAAATACCCTGCCAAACGTAATATAAGTTTTGTCGTTTTTTACTAAACTCCCAAGAGAAGTACGAAATCATGGGTGATTTGTCTCAACTCACTGATTGAATGGTGACAATTTTAATTCCTAGCCTTACACCTGGGTTCACTTTCCATCGTTATTATATATGTACACGGTTGTGTCGTAAGCTGTAAATTGCTACTAGACTGATTCAGAACGTGTTTTTTCCATACAGCTGTGTGAACACGGTAAATAAATTTTCAACGTGAAGACATATTTTATCATTAAACAACACTAGCTAACGAAAAACTGAAAAGCTCGAAACAGCAAATAACTGTTTAGCCTTAAATAATGACCTGTAGTCATTGTGTATCTGTGAAGAGTAGAGTCGAGTACTAACGAATTACAAAATAAGCATGTTACTGTACAGTCGTTGGGTCGAACTTTAACTATGAGTGATTACTAACTTCTGCAACCTGGCAATGTAGCGTCTTGGTCCTTTAGTGCTGTTGATGTGTAGTCATTTTCACATCCAAATTGATGAATCTTTCATTCCTGGCCTCCCACTATTATCTCGAGAGATTCGTCTCATTGATTGTCACTAAATAGCGATCATCCAGTAGATGGATGTTGGATTTGCAGAAATTTAACTGATTTCAACATAGATTTTCAATGATATGAGTATGTGAGTAAGTCACTTCAGTAGCAAATTTGACAAAAGTGTGTAACACAAAACTTTTATTTTGTAGACAGACTTTAGTATAAGATCCTACTTATTTAGTTATGAATTCGCCGGAATAATATTCGTAGAAGACTTTGGTTTTGACTGACAACTATGAAAATATATTTATCTCAGTTTTCCTCAAATAGCTACGCTACCTTTCTTTGGGAAGGAATTTTATTTTGTGGCTTGAAATCAAATTATCAAAGCAGTTGTAAAAAATATTTAAACTCTGTAATACAATAAGATCTGTATATGTGAAGGTCATCAAATATCTAATCGTGTAAAAGATAACATGATCAGGCAGTTACTCAATAAAATTAAGAGACGAGGCAACAAAGATTTGTTTTATAGCACTCTGTTAAGTATAAATAGCATTTAGATATTGCATTTTCATTAAATTCTTTTAAGATGAAACGTCTCAGCTTCTCCTAATCCTGAGTTCAAATTGCTCAATGATACCATTAATCAATTTGAATCTCTGAAGTTATTTGGCTGTTTTCGAGGATGCAGCTGCGTCTTGCCGACATGACCTAGATCCAGGTCTTCATGAAAGTTATGTGGGCGACTTGATTTGATTATGGACAATAAATTAGGGTCGAAACGTACCCAGCAAATAAATATTACTGTACAATCGTTTGCTATCAAATAAAGTTATTCTGTTATGGAATTATACTCAACCACAATGTCTGAATTCTATCTCATACCGTTGGGTACTTTTAGGATAGGCAGTTTACTAAGACAGTATTTATTTATATAAATCTTTTATCTTCTCAAATGAAGCCGTTATTTACTTTTGGTGAGTTACCTGGGTAACTCAGCTGTAACCACGTCCATAGTTAAATGAATAGTCGATGAATTGTTGCTTAAAACATGTTCATCTAATACGTTAAATTTATTGTCATTGTAAAAATTACATAAAAGCACTATAAGAAGTAGAGTATTTTAAATTTCCTGAAATTAGAACTGAAAGTCATTGAGAAAGCAAACTATTCTCTTGATTCCGTAGGGTAAACTTTTCAGCAGACAACCACCAAAACAAAAACTTGTTCCAACAAGAAAGGTAACTATGGAAATACTGTGGCTTTGCCACGTAAGAAAGATATACCTGAGGCGATTCAGGGAAACCCCAAAAGGGTAACTTTTGTACTGCACCTAGACAGGTGATTGGTTTCAGAAACAAATTAAACCAGTTAAAATATCCAATGAAAAATTACATACATTTATTTGTATCATGTGCTGATTATCCGGTTAATTTTTTGAGGTCAAACTGCAAGATTACTCAAAATCAGGCCTAATGAGTATAAGCTTTTAATTAGAGTCCAAACCTAAGGGACATATAAGAAAGAGAATTTAGGAAAACGTTCATCAATAGCTGCACATGCATGGATGAACAACATTTGTACTTTAAAGTGCAATATAGAAGAATGGAAGGAAAGATTAATGACAGAATTCATACCCATATATGTCACCTCCAACAATATGTAATAAAGGACACTCAAATTAACTGTCACTATCATGAAACTTGCTGTTGGATACAAGAGATGACCCAAAAAATCCTAGACATGTGGTTGCTGGCTATGGATGTGTGAGCAAGGAAATTCGGACAAGTGATGTAATCACTCACAGTAATTTCTCTGGAAATATCGCTAAAATTAACTTATCACTTCATGAAAATAACCACTGAGTTTATCCTTGTTGTAACGGTGGTATACTTTGAAGAGTATACGGGGAGATAGTTTTCAGTGACAGTCCAAAATAACTGATAATAGTTGTCAATGAATTTCAGCGTATTAGCTTTCTACATAATGTTTTACAACCAGTTTCATAAAATCAAAGTTTGAGTTACCAGGCAATAAAAGGGATGTATTTATTACTTCCCATCTTTACCTCTTTCAATACAGTTCGACTAAAATGAAAGTATGGTCTGTGCGCATATTCTTGATATTTTGTATGCCCTATTTCAAACGAAATCAATATTGGTCAAGAATTGATTTGACAATGTTCTTCTTTTCGTTGTGAATCCACTTCGTGTAAGCACTATTGACTCCTACTGGGATACTTTTAGTACCATGAAATCAAAAAGTATGTATACAAAGATATATATATTCTCCATGCAGATTTCGGTTTGGGGACTCACCTAGACCTATGTTAAGAGGTTTGTTAGCAATTAGAAACCAAACTGAGTTTGTATATATATATAATGCGAAAATATATTCTAAAATAATAGGTGAATAAATTATTCAGGATTATCGTGTTTGTGAAAAATAACTTGATAATCGCGTAGAAATTAAAAAGACCCGAAAATTGATGAAGCCACCAGGACCATAATAATAATTTTTATTTCTGGAACAGAAACCAGCCATTTTTACAGGCATGAACATATGTACACTAATTAGAACCTATAGAAAATATATGATTTGTTAATCTAGAAATAGATTGAATACTGGTAAATTTGAGAGAAATATTTAAAAAGAAATGTGCAAATAAGGCAATAGGTAATTTT